ATTTTCTTTTACTATCTTCTTTGTTTAATATATGATATTATTAAGTAATTGTTTTAATTATATTATAATTGACTAATTTTTTAAAATATCATTTTTTTTTTGTTATTTAATATTTTTATCAGTTAGTTTTTATCAACATGATTTGTTTATCAGCCAACTTATCAGTGATCAACTAATTTATCAGTTATTTTACCAAATATAATCTTAACGAATTTATTGATATTGAAAAAAAACTACTTGCTTGAAGTTAAAAATATATGTATATTATATATCTCTAAAACTACATTAATTAAGCACCACATATAAAAAAACGCACACAAAAGGGTCATATATATTCTTGCTACCTACAATCGGCATCTAAGCATATTTGAGAAGTGGAGAGGGATAAAATGTTCACTATTATACGAGATTATTTACTTTATCTTTTATTTTTTATTGTTTTTGGACAAAATTTGTACCATATGTTTCAATCATATACGAATTAAAGTCATACATAGGGGTCAATATAAGGGTTTGTGTAACAACTCATCCCACATAGATAGAATATGAGATTTATGAGCTTCGAAGAAAACTCAAGTTGTGTGCTACTAATAACTTTCGACATAACTTTAACTTGGATTTAAAGATATTGGACTAGTCTGTTGTTATGAGGTTTGGGGTGTTACAGTTGTATGGTTGTCAACTTTAGGACCTTTAAGTTAGTGGAGGTGTCTACAAGATAATCTTGATACCTACGTTTTGAAAAAACGAATTCAGCAACTTCTTATACAAAAATAATTATAATGAAAACGTATGTAATTTAATTCTTAACTTTTAGTTTGAAGCAAAATCAAAATTATGATGTTTTTTTTAACTTTTACCTTCTAAGTCTGAATGCACGCTAAACAAAAGATATGGAATTGAGGAAATATCCCAGACATGCTTTTATATCACTTTATTCCCTTCACCAAAAGGGACAAATGTCTGAAAAAATAAAAACGAAAAGTTATCTTCTTCAACCAAAGCCATTGGTATATGGGTCGTTTATAAACACTAATTGGGTAAGGTTGTGATCCGAGTAAGAGGTTCGGTATACATAAACATTGACTGAAAATGATTGTTTATCAAGTGTTATGTTACCCGCAAACGGAAGCATTAACCGAGTCATAAATAATCTATTCCTTACTGGGTCAATATCTAGTTTAGCATATTGTTGATTAGAGTGTGTTGGTAAACAACCACTTCTTACTGGGTAAGAACCTCTTACCCCATAAGAAGTTGTAACTTAAGCTTATTGTCTATAGCTTATACTCGTGAATAAGTTTATAGTACATAGGTCGAGTTTGAGCATGCTTGAAATCAATTATGTGATATTGATTATGTTTGGCTTAACTTATAAACCTTTACAATCCCATTAAAACTTGACTTCTATGATCAGTATCAAAAGGATCTCTTTTTAAGTTTCGAACATTACATCATTTCTATATATATAGCAATGTAAGAACGTAAGAAACTATCACAGAAAACATGAAAACTGACATGTGCCATGAAACAGTATTTTGTTTCTGAGTATGCACAAGATTATCACTTATTTTAGGGTCAATAACTTTTAAGTTGTTAGTTTGTGCATTTTTTACTATATTTCTTTAAAATAAAAGTTTTTATCACTATATATATATATATATATATATATATATATATCAACTCATTCAACTATTTTAATTTTTTTTAATATATCGTTACGGACATTACATGTGTTTATCATGTGGGTGACACAATTTCCATCCTCTAGATCAAATTCACATGTAAATTTATAGTTTTATTATCGAACTTTTTATTTTTCAGTAGAAAAAAGTGCAATTTCAATTAATAAAATTATTGTCCCATGTCACATGTTCTTTTCTTACTTTTTACATATAAGTTTAATTATAACATTGATAAGTCACACTCCAAATAACTTTGTTATATTCTGCCTTTAATCAAATAGACCGAGAGGTTTGAGCCCTATAAACATTTCTTATATGCCCGTATGCTATACAAATCTAAAGAGGACCATACGAGGTTAACAATTGCCATCGGCCATGATGCTCTCTTTCTCGTCATATATAGTAAGAAAAGCAAAAACACGTCCCGATACATGATTTACAAACGCACGATATTTTCAAGTCTATTTCCAAGACAAACATACACCATGTGAGTGACATACACGTATTTTTTAAATAATCAATCTTTCAAATATGTGATACACACATACGTAATATGTGTGTTACATTATATATTAATGATAATAAAAAATTCAAAAGATATATACAAACATTATTAAATTTTTATCGATCAGTTATCATCAATTGAAATGTATGTATGTGTGTGTGTGTGAAGGAGAAGCCATTGGAGATGCTTGAGAACATGGATGGAAGTATAAAGGCCATAAATAGTGATGGTCAAAGAAAGAAGGAATAACTTGAAACAATTGATGTTTCCATAAATAGAACTTGGAAGAGACTACTCTTCATATCTTGCATTCAAAGCCTTCAAAATTTTGTACCACCACTCATTTTTCCACCATATATGCTATGCCCTATATATCAAGATCTTACTTTCTCCAACTATTTAATTCTTTATTATTTAACTATAAGATATCAAAAGTACTTGAAAGTCTCAGGTTTAAATTTAAAGAAGAATAAAAATCTCATCATAACCACATAAATTCAAATGCGGTGATATATTATGAAGCATTTGACAAAAACTATATTATATTATGAAGCATT